ATACATTTCCTCACAGGAGAAATACACAGCTGCTCTCAAGCAGTCATGTCTATTCCAAGTAACTTTAGGGTTGATACATGAGATGTTTCAAGTGTTGAAATGGGGTCCTCAAAGCCTTTGACCTAAGATCTTTGACCTCACCCCTGTTTCTGCTCATCGTCTTGCCAGGGATTGACAGTAGGATTAATGGACTGCGCAGAGATCAAAGTTGAAATGGCTGAAGAAGGGCTGCTGGAGAGTCTTGTCATCACCGAAGAGGGAGACATAACCGAGAGTGTCGCTGACAAAGGGGCAGAGAGCAGTTCACTCACCGCACAGAGCTGCAGCAGAGAGTCGGGTCAGAAAGAGGAAGAGGAACACACAGGGGAGGACGAGAATGAAGAAGATATAGTGAGTAAAATGTGTTCAGAGGAGCAGAGCAAGGAGAAACAACAAGCCAACGCAGAGGATGATCAGATAGCAGAGGCTGTTGTGAGTGAAGAGGACAAAGCAGAGAAAACTGAGAATGATGGACAAAACAGAGGTGATAGTGAAAGAGAAGAGCACACACATGAGGTAATGGGGATTAATGAAAAACCCGAGACACCCAGTGACACAGAGAATGAAAAGCTTTCACAAGATGATCCTCAAGTGGATGTAAAGAGGTTAATTTCCTCTGAGCAACAACCTGAAGGGACAGAAAACCAAGAAGAGGATCCAAAAAAGGTTTGTAGACTGTTGGTATACTACTTTGGCTTTTTCACATGCCCTGAGATTACCTCTATTGTAGCTGAAAGTATGTGTTTGAAATGTTCTTGACTTTAGCCACCATGTACTCTGTGAGGAAAACAATCTTGTGGTGGAAAAAACAGCAGGTACCATTTTGTTACAGAGCATGTGGGAGTACGTAGGAGTTAAGTGAATGTCTTTGCTGTGCCAACAAACAGTCTGTGCCACTCACTGAGAAACCTTTCCTCCCTCCTGCATACTTTTTCTGCCACCTACCCTCGTTTTCTCAGGCTCACCGGTTAACCCCTGACTTCCCGGAGGCGCTCTACGAGCTGCTCTGCACCCTCCAGGAGGGGAGACGGCTCAATGACCAACGCTGCTCCTTCAGGATGGAGAGTGGAATGAGGAGGAGGAGGTGCCACTCTGAGCCCAACACCACCAAGCCAGCCAACAGAGGTGGGAGCACCCTTCAGAAGCATTTTGTTTATCTGTGTTTACGTGATGAAACTGGTGCAGCTGTTGCATTTGTTTCCATGTAATGATGCTGACTCATGTCGATCAAGCTGAAAGAACATGAAACGACCCGTACTTAGTGACTCAAGAATGTTTTGAAACTTCTTCAACCGGCATGTTTCCATGTCTTTCCTTGACCACTGACCACTTAAAGTCTCCTGCTGTCTAACCATCAAAGCTCTTTTGTCTCATTTCTCCTCAGTGGTCTTTTCCTCCATGACTTCACTGCAGAGAGAGGAGTTCTTTGAGCTGGTGGCCACCGCTCAAGCTCGCCGGCTGGATGACCAGAGGGCGCAGCTCGAAAAGTCCCAACCGGCAAAAATAAAAGCCAGAGGTTTCAGAGGCAGCATAAAGCAGCTCTCTTTTGTGAAGAGGCCTGCGCCTGCCCCTGCGCCTGCACCAGTTCCTGTGCCTGTGCCAAAAGAGGATCTGTATAACATGATTCTGACAACACAAGTAAGCACTGAACTAGTTTGCTTAGGTGCTTTTATCATGACATAACAATTTTTTGTCAGAGGGAAATGTTAGACTCTTGCCAAACCACAATGTCATGCTAACTTAAGTGGAAAATGATTTACTTTTTTACATCATTTCCAGCATTAATTTGACCTTTTACCTTCCACCCCCACAGGCCCAGGGCAGACTGGAGGATCAGCGCAGCAGGGCTCCTGGTCCCATGGACGATGAGGACTTCTTCTCCCTGCTCCTGAGGGTCCAGGGGGGACGCATGGACGAGCAGAGGACTGAATTACCATGCATGCTGCAAACCTGAGATGGAAAACAAAAAACTGTGCAGTGAGAGCCATCCAGTATTGTAGCTTTCTTATTTTTGTTAAAACAGGATGCTTTTTGTTGTTGACTTTAATGATGCTTTATTTAAGGGAATTGTTGTCCTTCCTGATAGTGTTGGTCAGTTTTCAAGCTCTTCAGATTGTAGCAAAGAAAACGCTAATGTTTGTGCAACAGAGCTTTTAATGTGACTTGAGGGACGTTCCTGATGAGATTGTAAAGTTTACTGCTAGTTAGTGTTTTATTTCTTTCCTAGTAAATAGGATCAGTAGATATGCTTTCTTATCTTGGCAAAGTTCTTATTTTATTGAGTGTCTGCGATGAGTGGTTGAATGATTTTGTGTGTGTTCCATAATGAGGAGGAGGCCGTCTACTGATCTCTATTGTTTCTCCTTATTTGTACAGTAGACAGTAAACACACCAGGAATGTTGTCAAGGAGATAAGAGCTCCAAAGCCACACAGGGTTTGACTGTATATGGATAAATCTCTTCTATAAAATAAACTAAATGTGTATCTGAGCCAAATGCTTTTATCCATTTATTCAGTTTGTCTAAAATGTCAGGAGAAAAAGAGATTTAACATGCTCAGATCTCCTCGTTATCGTTATTTTTTAGATATCAAACAAACAGTAATTGCCTGTAATTGCAAGCATTTCAGCAGTGGAATTAACAAGGATGTGTGAAACCTGTTCCTTTGGTTTCATCATTAATCGTCATTCCCTCGCTAGGTAACATTCTCACAAACTTGTTATGATGTCTGATGTGTTTAAAACATCCAGTTGCACATAAATCAAAACATCCTCACAGGAAGAGGGGTTGTTATGTCCCATTTATGGAGCAACTGAGGCAAAGATAAAGGTGTTAATACCTCACAGAATGATGGGCTAAAAACGGGCGTTATCTCAAAGTTCCAGAATTTTCTCATTTTTATTGACCTAAAGAGAATATTCACACATTTAATGTTGTCCCGGTTTGACTAAAGTATCACGCTAACTCCTAAGTTCAGAGTCAATACTGCTTAACAATATTTGTGGCTATTAGAACTTGATTTTTACTCAAACTCATGATCCAACCACTTGTTTCTAAAGTCTAATGTACTTGTAAACATGCCGCACATAATAATCCAGGGGCCACACTGTGTCACCAGCCAGAAGGGGCCTCCTGGAAACCTGTGACCTTGTCTGATGTGTGTTTAGTCCAGTCAGCTCAGAGGAAAAGTTTCTGAGGAAGTCCTGGTCGGCCTGCATCAGTGAGGTTAGAGGTGACGAGAAGACGCACTGTCACTTCCTCAAACAGAGCACACTTACATGATATGTGATAGCAACATTTTAATTAACGTTGGCGGTTGAGATCCACGTTTAAAGGAGAAAACATCAGAAAAACAAAAATATTGCCTCTTAGGATTATGTCTTTTTGTTGGATTATAAACAAAAATAAAGGTGGTACACTGACTCATTAAAAAAGTTAAATTTCCGACGTATGGTCAAAGGTCATTACTCTGTCTGACAACCTGCTTTTCTCAACCTCTGCTCCAAACATCAAGTGACACGAAGACAAACATTTCAAAGAAGAGGAACAGAGGAAGAGAAGAGCAGCACACATTAGACACCACACCAAAATTGTGAAACAGTTTGACAACAGGAAACTAACCAGATGTAAGTTCCACTTTTCAGATGAAAATGTGCAATATGCATGGGTGGATTATAAGATAACAGGTCCTTGGGCACAGATATGCAAAAGGCCCTACTAACTCCTACAGGAGCAAGATATAATACTCTGTAGTGGTTTTGCCTCCTTTAGTGGTTGTTGTTTTGTGTGTCTTTAAGGTCATTCTGTGTCTTCAGTTGTTTGGTGTCTCTATGGGGGGGCTGATTTGACCTTTTTGTCTCATTTTAGTGTCTCTTCACAGATTCTATGCATCATTTTGTGGTAATTCTGAGTCTCTTCCTGGTTGTGTTAATACTGCAGATGAAGGCAGGGGGGGAGCCCCTAACTGGTTAGGTTCCTGGGCCTCTGCCAGATAACAATCCATCAGTGGCAATATGTAGCCTATTTATACCAGGGTTGAGTCAATGCATTGTTTAATCTCCTGGTATGGCCTTGGCCTTCTTTCAAAGACCAGATACTGCCCGGGTCAATATGCATTTGTCATTATTATTTTTATAATTTATGATTGAAAGTTCCTTCTAGTATTTCAGGGAAACAAAGTTGGGAGTGTTTAAGTCTGTTAAATCCTTATTCCAACCTGTTTACTTTAACTTTATTGAGAAGGTTTATGGTTTTCCACCCTGCCAAGATTATATAAGGGGGGAAAGCACTGAAAATGTCTCATTTAGGAGGCATGAAACTTGTCAGATTTGTCAAATATTTTTAGATAGGCTGTAGAATATTGATAAATCTCCTTTGGATTTCTAAATCTCATTTAGCACTTTTTTATTCATTGCTGTGTACGTGATATGTTGACATCGTGTTTGTTATCTGTTTAATGTTGTCATTTATTGTACTATAATATATACAGTAACTTTAAATATATTTGTTGCCTTTATAAGAAGGCTACCAATTTTAAACGGTTAATGAAAACATTATTATATATCTGCCTATTAATATCACTCTTTCTTTATTAACTCTTTAATTATTTAATTATTTATCTTTTTATTCATTTTAAAATGAATTTCGCTTTGACCGCTTTCACCGTCCAGCCCCGCCTATTGGGTGACGTCACTAATCACTTGACTGAAACCGAGGACTGTTAAAGAAGGATAAGACGGGCGCGAGGAAGTTGCGGAGCATTTCAGGTTGAGTTTAGCCGTAGTTTTTGTCAATTGTCGTTGCTTACATCGAATAATCTGATTACACATTTATCAGAAGTTACTTAGCTCGTGTTTGTGGCGTCTTTTCGATAGTTTTTGAAGACGTTTGACGGTGTTAGCGATCGCTAGCATAGCCGTGACGTCACCGTCTCATCCCGATGTTGTTGTCCCAGACCCAAACAAGGATGTAGATGAAGATAAAAGTTGCTCGGGACTGGGAACTACAGCACAGTACAGAACAGTACAGTTCACAGAGAACAAGATAATAACCTATTGAGGACGTGAAACAGGGAAACAGCACTGTGCCAGAGGTGGGTAGAAGTAGTTAATGGTTAATTTAAACTTTACTTGTGCTTTTAGCGACGTTACTTTCCCTTTGGGATCATGACAGCTAGCAACGAGCTCAGTGTGACTTGCAGTATCGTCTACTGTGATTCATTATCTCACTTGAAATTCAAACTTTGGTTAATGAAATTGCATCAGCTTTAAGATGGTGATGATGATAACTTGTGCACTTGTCTGTTGAGACTGGACAAATGCTGAAATGTGACCAACTTAAGTGCGTTAACGTTACATTTACTCAAGTACTGTACTCTGGTATTCCTTCAGCTGCAAGATACTTGTACACTACTTTCCATTTTAAGGATACTTTATGCTTTAGATATCGTACTTTAAATCCTACTCCTTTTTACCCTACATTTATTTGATACTTTAGTTACTTTGCAGATTCGCATCATTGATACTAGACAAAAGACAAAGGTGTCTAAGAATATTTTTGTTCTGAACAAAGCAAAGTATGTGGTAGACCACAGGGCAATGAGAATTCTGTACTGCTCACTTATTTTGCCATACTTAAGTTATTGTGTGAAGGCGTGGGGCAACACATACATGAGAAATATGAAGCTTTACAGAAGAGAGCACTAAGAATTATTCATAAAATAGATCCAAGACAACACACCAAGCCAGGATTATTGAAAATTAATGATTTAGTTGAATTACAGACACTATAAATTATGTGTAGAGCAAAATGCAGTGTTACCAGAACATTTACAAAAGTTTTTATTTCAGAGGACGATAAGCATAGAAGGAAATTTCACTGTAAGCACCAGTTTATTTCAGTGGTGGATATTAAACTGTGGAATTCCTTACAGAGTGATTTAAAGGGTTGTCTAAGTATTTTTCAGTTTTAGAAAATGTATAAAGAAAGAACAATTGGATTTTATCAAGCTGTCATGTAAATGCTGTTCCCTTGTTGAAGGGGACATTGTGTATGGCTACAGATTCTTTCTGAAGTGTAACTATTGGTTATTAACTGTAACTGACAGACCATCTATTTCTTATAATTATTTCTGTTTTTGAGAGAGGGGGAGGTAAAATAAGACTATTCTCCTGCTCCTTTTTGGTCATGTAACCTGTATTAGACTTTTTTTCGATTGTGACGTAGATTGCTGCATATTATTTTTAGACTTGCACCGATTACAATTTTTTGGGCCGATACCGATTTCCGATTTGCAGAGTGTTTGGATGGCTGATTCCGATTTAAATTTTTTCAAACCACTTTACAACAGCACACAAGATATTGCAATATTTTCTGTCTTTGTTTTATCAGAACATTTTAACCAAGATACAACCAGCTTTTCAATAATCATCTCAAACACACAAACAAAAACAGTGACAAATATAACTTCAGGTAGGCCTACAGTATTAAAATAAATAGGCTAAGTAAAAAAGGCATACATAAATAAAAACATCGATAAATAAAACAATAATTTTTGGTGTATAGCATTTGTGGGTAACTTCTTTAAAACACAAAAAAGTAAATATAGGCTATCTCTATATCTTCGGCATGTGGCACAGTGCAGCAGTGAAAGCTCCGCAGTTCTGTTTAACACTGACAATTAACAACTTTCTCCTTCTCTCTTTTGATGTGTGTGCCTGAATGATTAAGGTGAGAAGCCACCCATGTTTCACTAACATCGCCCAAGCTCTGAGTTGCACATGTGCCTGTGTGTGCGCTGCTGATGTTACACAATGTCAATCATGCAGCCTGCTGAGAAGTTGACTGGTGTTTTAAATCGGCATATTTTAGACTGACCAGCCGGTCGCAGGTCATGGTCGATCACGTGAAAACCGGCCAGTTCCGAGCACAGCCGATAAATCGGTGCAAGTCTAATTTAGATGAAGCTACCCAGCATTATGTAAAACAGTAAATACCCTTATCGTTACCAGCTGCAACATTATTGTGAATGTTACACATGAATGCATCAGCAATTATAATCAAATTATATTATTATTATTCATTATTTTGAAATGAGTAATTCTGTATGACGATTACTTTTGGTACTTCAGTACATTTTGCTGCCAGTGCTTTTGTAGCTCCACTCAAGTAAAACTTTGAATGCAGGACTTTTACTTGTAACAGAGTATGTTTTGCATGGTTTTATCGGTACTTTACTTATGTAGAAGACCAAAGAACATCTTCCACTATTGAACTGGACCACAATATCAATATTCTATTGAGACTAAAAGACCAAATGTTGTAACAGCAATCCAAAAACACCACAAAAAGTAAAAACCCGTTAAAATACTCCAACAAGTACTTACAGGTACCCTTGTAACTGTAATGTTTTTTGTTTATTTTTAACCTGTAATGATTAATAAAAGTTTGCATCTTCCTCTTAGATGCTGCTGCTCCTATCCCTGCTGATCTTCTGTTTGCCACTTGGGGGCGACACCTCACCAATCACCTGCTACAACGACCAGGGAGATGCTGTTGATTGGTAATTCATTGATAACAGTCCTGGACAAAGCAAACTAATAAAAACACACTTTATGGTTTGTTTTAAGCCCATTACTGTGTGAAAAAATCAGCTGCGTTCATCTCTCTGTCTCCCAGATGCACTCACTGTCTAATTTTCCATGTCAGGTTTTATATGTACAAGCTGCCTAAAGATGGCAGAAAAGATCTCCATGAGGGTGAGATGTATTTACTGCTGGACAAAGGGAGTGAAGGGTGGACTCCTGGAAAGGGGACAATGAACGACACCACGGGAGCTCTGGGCAGGACAGTTGGACAGCTGTACTCACAAGGAAAGGTCTGCCGCCAGGTGTCTTTTTGTCTGTGACAATAAGGGAACAAATACTGAAGCTAAACTTAGTGAGGTCAGTTTTGTTTTGCTGAGAGTTAGACTAAATTGTCTGGGAAATAACCCAGGTGAAAGTCAGCATTCTTGCACATGTGACAGAGTTTTTATAGAGTTTTCACTTCCTTATTATTAACGTATGACACATCTGCATGATTAATGTAAAATTCCTTCATTTGACTGCTTTCTACAATGCTGATGATGTCCTTAAAAAATAAGTATCAGTAGAAAATACTGATAGTTTCTTCAGACATCAGCAGACGTAACTCATTTTTGCCTGTTTCTGCTGTTTCACTGCAGTCACAAGACTTCTCATTTTATACAAGACTTAAATGCAGTGGTAAGCTTTTTTTTTTAAAGAAGTGTCTGCCGTAACCACTTGACATTATTGGATCAGATTAAGAAACTGAGAATGAGAACTGAAAATTACTTTTTCATTTCTAAGCGGTTGGTCTGCCTCTGAACAGCTGTGAAGTAGTTTGGACAGCACGATTATACAAAACACTATGATTTTATACCTCAGCTTAACAATGTTATGCTGTTTGATTTTGTTTAGTTGATGTGTATGCGTGCCTGTGTTTCTTGTGTGCCCAAGTATGATGGTTTCTAGTTTCATTAATAAAAACTCTCTCCTCTTCACAGAACACAGAAGTAGCGTACATCCTTTACAATGACCAGAAGCCACTTGACAAAAGTGGAGGAAGAGGAGGGCACACAAAAGGTGAACACCACAGCGGACCAGCTCCAGTAGACTGCAAGAAATTTGACTTTATGTTCAAGATCAGCAAATATAGGCGTTCTTGTATGGTGTATCAATGATGTCAAAGCAGAAATGCCATCAAAGTCTATTGCAGCACTGTATACAATTTAAGACCTCTTCTTGCAGATACTTAAAAAGTCTTTAAAGGCATTGAAATACTCTAAAAATAGCTCTTTAATTGGAATTAAAACATTGTTACCTCACATCAAGAGGGTTCCTGGATTTAAGCCGGGGTGTGAGGATTCGAACCCCGGGGTGGAGGAGCCTTTTGTGCGGCGTTTGCATGTTCTCCCTGTGTCAGCGTGGATTTTCTCTGGCTTCCTCCCACAGTCCAAAGACATGCAGGTTAATTGGTGACTCTAAATTGTCCGTAGGTGTGAATGTGAGTGTGAATGGTTGTCTGTATGTGTCAGCCCTGTGATAGTCTGGTGACCTGTCCAGGGTGAACCCTGCCTCTCACCTTGTGTCAGCTGGGATAGGCTCCAGCACCCCTGCGACCCCCAACTGAATAAGCGGTTACTGAAAATAAATGAATCTTACAGAAGTCTTAAAAATGCTAAGACATGGGATGTGGGATTATTTTTTATGACATTGCATTGTAAAATCTCAAAATAATTGGTAACGTCTATTTGTTTTTAAATAATTTACCAAATCCCTCTGGCATTAACGTCATGCAGATCAGGATAGTGGAACCTACAGCTCATATTTTGTTTCCATCTGAGGCGTTTAGAGCAGAGGATCCACTGTCTAGCTGTTACTGTACGCCGACTGATATAGGGAAAGGCAAACAACCAAATTTGGCCATTTAACCAAGATTTTGTGGTATGGCTGAACAGGTATAAGGCTACGCATATTAGGCTTAGTGTATTTTATGCAAAAAGTTGTCAAGTCATGTTTTGTGTCACAACAAACATTTTGGCAAAATTGACCCTAACTCTAAGTAACTGATGCCAGCTCATGTTTTTTTTTTTTTTTTTTTTTAAGTAACATTGGTCTTAAATTTCACTCTGAGAGGCATTCAAAAGTCTAAAAAAAAGTCTTGACTTAAATTTTCCTTGATCTGTAAAAACCCTGCATTCATTACATCCTGTATGGAATTATGGGTAAATACTTTTAAAACAAATGCTAATCCAATTTACATACTTCACAAGACAGCCAAAAGAGTGCTTTCTAGGGACTCGTCACTGTTTTTCACCAGCTTTTCAAGCACCAAACTTGTTGCAAGCCATTGCTGTTTTTCCTGCAGCCTTCAGGCAGCAAACGTGGGTGTTTTGTAGCGACCTGTCCCTATATTTCCAACTGCTTTTAAGGCACCAAACTGTCTTTTAAAGCGGACTGTTGCTGCTTTTCCAGTGGCTTTATAGATACTAAGTGTGGGTGTTGTGTAGTGATCCATCACTGTTTTGCCAGTGGGGAAAGTGCCAGGAAAAGCAGAGCTGAGAGGCATTAAAAAAGTCTGAAAAAAACTTAAACTTGCCTTAAGATGTAGGAACCCTGCATACATTACATCCTGTATGGAAAATGGGTAAATATGCACAGACTTTAAATAAAAAAAGCACAAGACCATAATTGCAATAAGGGAAAAAGAATTAAAGTATCCAAAATAAAGTGATATTTTTTATCATGACAGTTTATCAAATGACAATGTGAGAACAATGTGACAGAGGTTGCTGGTAGTGATGAACCTGAATCTGCAGCTCCCCTTCCCTGTGATATGTAGAAAAAAAGGAGGATAGTTGAGTTTGGTTAGATTTTATTTGCTTGTTGACTGTAACCATCAGATGAGAAAACTTTGAAGACAGTTTTTAATCTCTCTGTTCCTCAGGTGTCGTCCTGCTGGATAAAAACCAGGGCTTCTGGTTGGTCCACAGCACCCCTCACTTCCCCCCGGTACGACAGGCAGGACAGTATTACTACCCAGACAGCGGTGTGAAAAACGGACAAAACTTTATCTGCATCACCTTCCCGCTCGACCGCTTCCAGACCATCGGTAAGACTGGAGCGCTGCCATGTGGCCGTAATAGCACGGGCAGAGCTGTTATAAAAATGCACTTAACACTTTGTGATGACATTTAAGTGGATGATGGTATTAGATCACAATTACAGTATGAGAGGTGGGAGCTAATAAAGATCCATTCTCTTCCTTCTGTCTGCTGATATATATATTAATGAATAAATATGCCTTAATTAAGAAGGAATTTATTTTAAACCTCATATCTCATAGCTAAACAGATTAAAAATTCCAGTTGTTGTAGGCTTTGTAATGCTGTAAAGGTTGTAAACAAAGTCTGCAAGATGACAAATATAATTAGATTGACATATTGGTTTGCTGATATATTTGGCCATTTAATTAAAATTTAAATTACAGGTTATCATATTGGCCAATCATATAATTCCCTGCCAATATAATGGAAGTTCTTCAGTGAGGAAAGTCTATTAAACCTTTAATGACATATCATATATCAGAGTTTCCCATGTCTAACTCTGTCTTAAAGAGCTGCTTCGTGAAGACAGGTTTCAACGTGCTTCATTTGTCTTAGTTTCCCACGAGGGTGTGAATGCTGTTTCTAAGGTTTTCCCAGGAATATTATAATTCCCCTGAAACCCTAAATATTTGCCCTACTGTCTCATCTTGGAAAGGATTTCCTCAGTCATTATTGCCTTGTCCCCCAGCACTTAATAATCCAGTCAGTTATTGACACAACAAAAACAAGATAATGCAGATCCCGGATAATCAGCGTAAACAGGTGTCATCACCATGTCGCCGCGCTGCCTGTGCAGTTCCCTGGCAGACCCAGCAGTTGGCACAGTTGCTATGGCAGTGCCTGGGGTAATGTAATTAGATTGAGGTGTGTTACCATAGAGATATCGGCCTTCACACTGCGGCATGCATTTGCTCCATCAGATTCTCACCTCTCCAGCTGGGATGCTGAGAACGTGACGGTGTCCGGGGTGATGTGGGTACACAGCAGATAACGCTTTGTGAAACAGCAGAAGGTGTCACGTTTCATTTTACAGCACCTTGCAGCATGAATGTGCACATTAATGAGAGGAGACTGAGATTTGACACTAATATATCTAAAGATTTTTTTTTTTACCAAGTTGATAAATACTACCTAAAGTATCTAATTTGTGCAAACTCGTATATTGTCAGAAATATTGTTTGTTTCTGTTTTAATTAGCTTAATTACTCATTTGATTAGCACAACTACTTATGTTTAATGGGTAGAATTTGTGCTGAGTCTATAAGCTGATATATAAAGCTTGATGTAGGCTTAATCAACTACAATTTTAATGGTTGATTAAAAGTAATTCATTGGCAGCACTACAGCCATGCTCAGCACCGTTGGCAGAAGAAAATGTCAGCATTGTATGTTTCTGCAAAATACAAATATGCTACATTTGCACATTTCTTACATACTATATCAACATATCTAAAGTGGTGTAGTATACTTGCTGACTTTGTCATGGCGTGACACATAGGCAGACAGTGAACCATGCTAAAGGCCACTGTTTGAGACCAACAACACAACCGGTCAGGGTTTTTTGCTGTGTTTCCAGCGGCTTGTTAGGCACCAAACATGGGTGTTTTGTTGCAACCCATTCCTGTTTTTCCTGCAGCCATTTGGCAGCAAATGTGGGTGTTTTGTTGCCAGCCATCACTGTTTTTCCAGCAGCTTTTTAGGCAACAAACGTGGGTGTTTTCTAGAGATCAGTATCTGTTTTTCTTGTGGCTTTTCAAGCACCAAATGTGGATGTTTTGTTGGAACCTATTGCTCTTTTTCCTACAGCCTTTAGGCAGCAAACATGGGTGTTTTGTTGCAACCTGTCACTGTTTTTCCTGCAGCTTTTTTGGCAAGAAAGGTGGGTGTTTTCTAGAGATCTGTAGCTGTTTTTCTAGCCAATTTTCAAACACCAAACGTGGGTGTTTTGTTGCAACCCACTGCTATTTTTCATGCAGCCTTTAGGCAGCAGACATGGGTGTTTTGTAGTGACCAGTCACTGTTTTTCCAGCTGCTTTTTAGGCAACAAACATGGGTGTTTTATAGAGTTCTGTAGCCGTTATTCTAATGGCTTTTCAAGCACCAAACGTGGGTTTTTTGTTGCAACCCATTGCTGTTTTTTCTGCAGCCTTTAGGCAGCAAACATAGGTGTTATATAGCAACCTGTCACTGTTTTTCCAGCTGATTTTTAGGGAACAAACGTGGGTGTTTTATAGAGTTCTGTAGCCGTTATTCTAGTGGCTTTTGAGGCCTCAACCGTGGGTGTTATTTTGCAACCCATTGCTGTTTTTTCTGCAGCCTTTAGGCAGCAAACATGGGTGTTTTGTAGCAACCTGTCACTGTTTTTCCATCTGATTTCTTGGCAACAAACATGGGTGTTTTTTAGTGACCGGTTGCTGTTTTGCCAGTGGTGATAGTACTAAGAAAAACAGTTGTTTTTTACAGAGACATCATTGCTTTCCCAGCAGGGATTGTGCCTCCAAAAGCGACATTTTAAGCCAAAACTTTACCTTTCCCTAACCATAACCAAGTGGTTGTTGTGTCTAAACCTAACCACACATTAACTATAGAAATGTTGAAACGTAAAGTTTCAGCATATCCACCACATAATGATATGCAAATGTAACGCATCAGTGATTTGCTGAAAAGTAATATTCTGTCAATGTCAATATTTTTCCTGGTAATTTGGTTGCCATGCTAGCAGTTTTGTGAGGCTGTAGTTTGGCTCAGCAATGTGTCAGCATGCTAACATGCTTACAGTGACAATGCTAACATGCTGATGTTTAGCAGGTACCATGTTCAACATATTAGTTTTGCTTGTTAGCATGCTAACATTTAACGCAAAGAAGAGCTGAAGATGATGGAAATGTTATTATTAACGTCTGAACCAAATTTAATGGCAATCCATTTAAATAGTTGTAGAAATATTTCACTTAAAACCAAACCAAAAATTCATGGCAGTGTTGGATGAAAAGTCAAATGATCACTAAAGCCAGTAGGATGCGTCTTTTGGGCACCGTGAATGTCTATGCACAATTTTGTGATCATTTTTCATCACCCTGGACTCGGGGATGTTGTGATGGCAATTTTTCACTATCAGCTGACATCCAGAATTAGATAAGCATAAAATAATGGATTGGTTTATCAATAATGAAAGTAACTGTCAGTTGCAGCCCTAATGGAGCTCCTGTCTAATGGACAATAAGCAGAAGTGCATAATGTGTTGAGGTTAGAATTAAAGTTAAGCAACAGCATTACACTGTACTTAATGACAACAACAAAGTCTGTATGTGTGGTTTGTATGATATGGGCCAATAAAGGAACAACTTGTAGAATGTGATAGACCTTTACGTCAAAAAGGAAGTTTGAAAAAAAGAAGTTAAAATATCGTCCCTCTGTCATCTGTTGAGGTGCACAATGTCCCAGTGCACGTTATTGATACGCCTCTGCACCAATGTCACCAAGACAGTGCTGTTCATTTACTGTACTTAACGAACAAAGTGGTTTTGCAGTGCCGTTAGCACTGTTTGCCTTAAATCTAATTTGTTTTGCACCACAGGAGAGCAGCTTCAGATCAATCAGCCTAATGTGTACGACTGCGATGTCCCTGAGTCCTTGGTGTCCCTGGTGCCTGCACTGGCTGCTGTCTGTGGGAAAAAACATCTGTCTGGTCACATCTTTCCACATATCAAACCTGTTTCCAATCGCAGCGTGACTCTGACCTCTAAGGATGGCACCAACTTTATCAGCTTTGCCAAAGGAGCCTCTTTTGACAATGGTACGACCTTGGAGAAATAAAAGTAGTTTGAAGTTTGTTCATCTTCTGTCAGCTTCACCTTGACTTTCTTTGGAGGTATAAATGAGCCACTGTGAGCATGATAATAATGTGTCCTCTGTACTTTTTTTAACCTAAGACCAGTTTCCAGGTAATAAGATAATAAAAACATGTTCCCATCTATCTTCCCTTATTGTCTCATCAGACCTGTACCACTCCTGGGTGGCCCCCACCCTCCAGTCAGACCTCCTCGTCCAGTTCTGGATTCGCTCCACAGGCATCCTCCCCTCAGACTGCTCACAGGGCTGGAAAGTCTTGGACATCACTCTCATCAACCCTGGACAAACGTTCGCCTTTAAGGCCAGCCAGGACCACTCCAAATGGGCTGCCAGCCCCACGGCGGCGGCCGGGTCGGGGGCCGGAGGGGGCTGGGTGTGTGTGGGAGACATAAACCGGAACCAGGCGGAAGAGAAGCGAGGCGGTGGCACGGTGTGTCTGCAGGACCCAGTGGTGTGGAAGGCATACAGGACAGCGGCACTGGAGTGTGAGGCTTGTGGTGGAGGAACAATCCAGTGCTGACACCCTGCTGGAGCCAATAGATTTAACTGGGCTTAAGGACCGTCATGGGTTGATCAGGCTGAGATATTATTCTGCATGTGGGTTTATAAGTGAAATGTTTGCACATATTTGGTACAGTGTGTATATTTCTCTTAATGTCTGGTGAAATTTATTTGAAATCGCACATGTTCAGCATTTAAAATTTCTTTTCTAGAATCATACACTTTTGTGATAGTTTTGAGACGTCACAGTCATTTTCAGAAAGGTTCCCTGTGGAGTTTTCGACTATTAATTATAATTGACTATAATTAACTAGTCAATTATACTCAATTATAATTAATAGACTATAGTTAACTAGGGCAACACAGTGGTGCAGTGGTTAGCATTGTCGCCTCAAAGCAAGAGGGTGTCTTGTTTCCAACGCAGGGTGGGTGAACCCCTCTGTGTGGATTTTGCATGTTCTTCCTGTGTGAGCGTGGGTTTTCTCCAGGTACTCCGGCTTCCTCCCACAGTCCAAAGACATGCAGGTTAATTGGTGACTCTTAACTGCCTGTAAGTGTGAATGGTTGTCTGTCTCATTGTGTCAGCCCTGTGATAGTCTGGTGACTACAGGAAAAAAAAAAACAGGAACCTCTCAAATTAAATAACTAAAACTGATCCAACTTTGGTAGAGAATAATGTATTCATGTGGGACCTCACTCGAACAGTAAGAGGCTGATTGAGGAAATATGTTTTGGGGGCCTTTAAGGCACAGAAACCTTTTTACTTGTTCATTTACTTGTTCAGAATGATTATCGGCTGGTATCAGGGGCTGTTACATCCTCCTCTCCAAACTAAATGCATTCAGAACAATGCTGGAGGAGGACAAGTAGTCAAATCTGACAGAAAGTGGAGGGCTTTATGGGAAATATGGCATTCATTTTGAAAAACACAAAAACCTCAAAGTGGCACTTTAAATGAAAGCGTTTGTTCAAGTGTCTTTATAACCGCAGGGTACTCTTTTAACTGAAACTGAAGAGACAGTGTTATAAACTGCCTCACTAAGTTGGACTTTTTCCTGTTTAAATCAACATTAGATGATCTGTGGGTATGATCTCAGAGGGCGCATCAAGCTTTGCTGGTTGACAATGGATTGTATGAGGTTTTAAAGGTATGAACATTGTGGGATTAATTGCACTACTGTATGTTTGCCTGATATCAGACAGAACTGTCAACTCCATCTTCAGTCTGACAATACGTCCACTCTAACTGATTTCTGTGAGGGAGGTAACTAATCACTAGAGAATGAATTATCCACTTGAATCTAACGTCACTGTAAGTTCACACTGATGATGAACTGAACATTCTGGTTTTAATGGGTTTTTAAAGTAAAGTGGAGCGAAGGAAAAACAAACTACGATGTCAGGCAAAATTGAGAAGACGTATTGGTTTAAAGCAGCCACAAAGGCAGTGTCCGTCTTGTCTATAGTGATTGCTATTGCGGTTATTCCTTCTCATTGGTTCCGGCTTGACAATGGCTTGACAGTGGTGTTAGTCCCACCCATGGCGCTGATTGGCTAATCATTAGCAGGCTTGTCGTCAGGGAGGGCCAAAGATAACAGATGATGATCTCGACCGAAGCAGTCCCCCACAAACAACATTGGACCTTGAAGCCATTCGACACAGTGGCCAAACCATGTAACTTCAACTTCTGGGTCCGTCATGTGATGCCATGGGGCCCAAAAAGACGTTTCCCCATAGACTTACATTGTGAAAGCGATGCTTTAATCCAGTGGATAACCTTTTTACTTCATAACCCATGCAGAATAACTCCTTTGCATATCATTTGAATATCACAATTTTGATCGGTTTGGTCTGATAACATTTTTAAAATCTGTAAAAGCTGCCTAAGTTATTTTTTAAATATTATTTAAGTTTGTGGAGTGCTAAACAGGAAGCTAGGCACCTGGTGCACTTGATCTATGGGCCTTGAGGTTTGGAAGAGCTGGGTAATTTTACACCTAGGGAAGTCAAACTGTTTGGGCTTCATGTGCTACTGAGCAGCTTTAATAGGGATGAATGGGGCCCCACTTCCAATGCTGTATCCAGTTCTTCTTATACATCCATGACCCCAAGGCCCCATGCAAAGATCTCTGCGCCACTGTTGGTGGTGTCCAATTTCAGGGCCCAATTTGGAAACTTTCGTCCCCTGATTCATAATTCCTGATTGCAAAATTTGCTGTTGTAAGTCACGATGCCAGGATGATTCAGCCAACTCAGTGGAGTGGGTGGATTGAAAGGCCTGACCCCGGGCAACACTATGTAACATTCAGCACACATCATATTTCACTGACAATATTAAACTACAGACACTGACAACATTCAGGTGTGAGGAATGCTTTAATAGTTTGTTTTATGATTTCTTGTGTAATTAACTGGATTGTTATGAGTGTTTATGAATAACAAATGTGCTTCTCTTTTTTTGTTAGATGCCTTAGAATTGATATTTTCATCACATTTCCACATACATTCATTGATTTTGCGAGAAGATGAAGATGCTGGCTATCTTGAATCTGAATAAAAAGATTAAAACAGAGGTGTATGTTTGTCTTACAGATGTATATTCACCTTTCTTTGTTCACCTTATTCATGAGAAAATATATATGTGTGTATTTGACACATACAGACAGCTTTAATTCTATTTATGGGATATTCAGCAGCATGAAAAATATCTGCACTGAATGTAGATTACAGCACATCAGTCAAAAGCAATTAAATTCATATAAAAGTAAATTTATTAAGACAAAAATAGGACATCCTGTATGTAGTGCATAAATATCTTTGATGTGAGACCACACAGCACGGCAGGTGACTGTGTCTCTTTCATGTGTATTGTATACATTCTAATGCAAACATGAGGAAAGATGAGCATCCCGTAGAGAAAGGCACTAAAACAATCAGTAGCGCAACATAACGCTAGCACACGTCATCTAGTATTACCCAGAATCCTCTCCCTGGTCCTGCTATGCTCGTGCCTCAGCCAGTAAAGAGGCCTCACCAGCACTGAGCAGGTGCAACCAGAGGTCACAAGACTTCATCAAAGTCCAGACTTGTTTTAAACCTACATAGAAGTTAACATGTTCGTTCATAACATGAAGTTGGAGCTGAGGCTTTGACCTGTAAGTAAACAGTAGTGAAGCTGTGTCCTGCTGAGCTGCGTAAATATATGCATAAATTAGGTTTAGCTTATGCTCTGTTAAAAAAAAAAATCTAACCTGGAAAATAATAATAATGGTGGTGTATTGTTTTGATTTTCTGTACGGTTTTCTTTATGGTTTTGGTGCAGCAGTGATAAACTGAAGCAAAGCCACAAGCTTTAAAAGTGCTTTAAGGTGAGTTTTTTTTTTTTTTTTTTTTTTTTTTTTTTTAAAGCTGCAATAATCCATTTTTGGCCACTAGGGGTCAGAAGAACAGCTGCCTACATACACATCCAGCTGAAGAGGAAGTATTTATATGGAGGTGTATTTCTGTCCAGCTGATGAAGTAAGTGCCTTTTGGGGCTAGTTTAAAACTCCTGAGAAAAATATCTGGCTCTTTAGCAGCTAGATGTTTGATATGAAAGCAAATAAGAGAAAAGTATTTGAAGTTTAACAGCCACTGAATACTTGATATTGGGCTACAAAATAACAACTGGCCAGCTAGGCCATAGAGAGGCAGGCAGTCCAAAAATGCATCTGAGGCACTCTGACTGTAGATAAAAATCCTTTATTGATACATGGATAACCAATGCGTTCCGACTAGAGAGTCTTCATCAGGGTTTTTTCCTCACTTAACACTGGGATTTAAACACCACAGAATTCACAACATTCAATTGTTTTATTTTTGAAAACCATGTGTCTAAATTTATTTGCTCTGAATTTATCTTTTTTTAAATTAAAATATAAAATGTCTTGATTTGCAGCTTCAAAAGCTGAAACTGATTTTTTGTTCAGTGTTCATAAATTCAGATTCAAAAATTCGAGTCTCAGAATTACCCAAAAATAAATAAATAAAATAAAATAAAAAATACATTTAGGTTGCTCAAATTTCATTTGTTGTTCAGATGTAAAATTTAAATAAAAAAAAAAAAATCAAACAACAACATCGAGTCAAACCAGGACAGGAGAGGCAATCGAGCCTGAATGTTTCAACCAATCAATTTGACCGATATTCTATTTGAATTTTTTTCAACTTGAATATTAACATCAGAATTTGACCAATAGAATTTGAGCAGCCAGAATTCATTTTTTGAAATTATGAAACTTAAATTTTTGGATCTGAATTTGTGAACACACAAAAAAAAGCATCATTTTTTTTTTTTTTTTTTGCAAATTAGTAAAATTCATATTATAATTTCAAATGGTGAATTCAGCACAAATAAATTCAGCTACAAAGTTTCAAATTTTTCAAAAAATTCAATGATATGAATTCAGCAGTGTTTAAATCCCAACATTAAGTACTCAGTGGCTGTTGAAATGCAAATATTGATGCATGTTTTTTGCTTCCATATTTGACTTTTTCTACCAGCTAGTGGCTAACTCTGTGTGTCTGCTGGTTGTTGTTGGGCAGGTAGCACACACTGTGGGTTTTTGAAAAACACATCTACTTCCGAAAACAGGGTTGATAAAAGCTGTAAGAACAACCCATCTAAATTTTATCTGAAACAGGCCAAAATACTCAACAGCGCTAAAGAGTCGATTATTCTTTGTAGGTTAGTCAATACAAGCAGCCTCTATTACAATATGAATAATAATTTAATTCATTGTTGATAAAAAAATATTGATTAATGCAGCTTTAAGTTTATGTTGAAATGAATATCTGTATGAGTCAGAGCTGAAATGATGACTCTCACTGTCTGTAGACACCTGCTGTCCTGCTTAAAGTGGAAACCTTGATGCATTTTTTCTTCTATGAATTCGACAATTCAGACACATGGACCTAGAGCTCCTCACCAGTGTAAACACAACGTTGACATCATACAGACATACAAAATATATAAATATATACAAAACATATATATGTCTCATTTGACAAGCTCCAGTGTTTTTGCTACAGTGATGCACTTGTACTGTATCTTTGGGTCTTCCTCTTGTGTGCTGTTTCGCATGTTCATTATCCCAGAACACTGTCCTAAATCCTTCAACAGCATCGCAGGTTGAAAAGAGAATTTCTGACCAATTAAGCATCACGACTGTGGCACACAACAACAAGGGACTTCCTGGTGGTTATCAGCAATCAAAACAGACGTTACTTGTTGGGTTGGAATAAATTAAATGCATCGAGTGCTACCTGACTGGGACTCGAGAGCCAGCACCAGTTAAAGGCTTCCATTGCTCTTCCTCCGGGTGTAAAGTAGTGATGCATACTCTTCAGGAAAGAGGAAAGCTGACACCGTTTTTCAGCAGCAGACGGCTCTGGTGAGTGCAGCAGGGCAGCTGGAGGTATGAAATGTTTGACGAAACCTGTTCTGGAGTCACTGATGAAGACTTGGTCCTAGTTTTGGTGTTTTGGTAGAACAAGTTTTGAAGGAGCGTGGGAGGAAGTGTGGAGAAGGAAGGATGTGTAGAAGGCCACATTTACTGTCTGTGAGGAGAAAAATTCGTCACTGTGGACAAAGTCGGCTGAGGAAACTCTCATGTCAAAATAATGTCCTGACCAGTCTCCTCCCCTTGGCCTTGATTCGAGGAAAAGTGGCGCTCGTCTCTGTGTTGATTGGCTGTGAGCCCAGAGGAGTGTTGCCCCCTTTCCTCCTCAGCAGGAAGTCAACACTGGCTGATGTCATGGCGTAGAAGACGTTTCCTGTGGCAGGGATGACCAGTTCTGAGAAGACAAAAGACAAATAAACACATCAGAAGTCATTAAAGCTTCTCCACTGCTGCCTTGTGCAACACTAAAAACCTGAAGTTAACTACTACGCTCCGCTTCTGAAACGCTCACGCTGTGGTGTGACACGGTGCAGCAACGCAACAACACTTACAAGTCTTACCTAGTTTTACAGGCCAAATTTTGGCCTTCGTCATTGCTCAGAAACTGATGTCAATAGAATAGTTTGGTAATTATTTTTGTTATCTTCGCCGCCATCTTGACTGTAAGGGAGCCAAGAAGGACAATTCCACTGGTTGCAGCCATTGCACCTGGAATGTAGTGCAGCTACGCCCGGTGGAATTGTCCTTCTTGGCTTCCTTACAGTCAAGATGGCGGCGAAGATAACAAAAACAATTATCAAACTATTCTATGGATATCAGTTTTTGAGCCATGATGAAGGCCACAATTCCACCGGCCGCAGCTGCACCACATTCAGGCTGCAATGGCTGCAACCAGTGGCATTGTCCTTTTTGGCTACCTTGCAGTCAAGATGGCGGCTAAGATAACAAATCAATTTATTCATCTTGTATCATGCCTAACTTTGGTGGATCATAACATATCAGGTATGGAATTCATCTGCAGATGCTCTGGTCCAAAATAAGACCAAACTATTCTATGGATATCAGTTTTTGAGTCATGACGAATGCCAAAATTTGGTCTGTTAAAGACTGGGTAAGGCTTGGCGCATAGCCGAGCTGATTTCCAGGAAAACGTGCAGCCCTATCGGCCAGTTAAGAGGAGTGAGGAGTCAGCAGTCAGTGACAGTATAAAACAGTCAATAAAATAACTGCAACCATGAGAGGTCTTTGAGCATTCAGTCATAAATGTGCACATAAAATATTAGGCTGATGGGTCCAGTAGTTTGTGAGATTAGCTGCGGACAGACAGTCTCCATTTGATAACATTAACATGCCACCTATTGCTGAAACTGGTCCAGGAATACAATGTCTATTTCCAATAGGTCTATTTTTTTCTGCACCGGAGACTCGTCTTTACCTTTTCCTTCAGGCAGAAGTTGGATCAGCTCATATCTGGACGTCTGTTTGGGGTCCTGATTGTGCTTTTCTAAGGCCGAGCTGATCACAGTGGGAGTCTTGTCATTGCTTGTAACCTGAGGGGAGAGAGGAGAATAACAATGACACCAGGACAGCTTGATGTGCGCTAATGATATCCTGGGTCCATTGTATCCTGAGGATCTGATCCTGATGACTATCATTACAGGATCCTCGCAGATAAGAGGAAAGGCTGTAAGTGCAGCATGTCACAGATAATTTAGGACAAAGCATTCTCTACAGTCTCCCTGCTGCTGTAAATTAGACTCAAATGGTTTGAATTAGTACCAGTATGCTTCGGTACAGGTTTCCATCCTGCAGGTCCATCCGTATCCTGATGATTCGCATGTCGGGCCCTGACCCTTTGATGTTATTGGCGGGGTTGCTGCCACAAGAGACTGATCGGCGGTGTGATTTTGTGGGAGTGGATGGAGTCAATGAGGCAGGGGTGGATTCATTGGTTGAAGTAGATGTGTCAACATCCAGGCAGGACACAGACGGAGATCTCATATGCTGCAACAGAAAGTAAAGCAACATTGCTCATTATAACCAAGGAAGTGATTGTTTCTCTGGTATAATATCAAGTTCAGTCCAACGATGTTTGACAGACAAAAACCTCATCTGTAAAACAAGCCAATAT